CAGGGTTGTAAGGTTTAAATAATAATTCGTGTAAATACACTCTGTAAACGCTAAAGCACTGCATGAATGTTAGAAATTAATTATTCTGCTAAAATCATACATTTCAGAGTTAAACCATTTTCACACACGCTTTGGCTGGTAGCCTTCCTCCCAGCAATTTTACTTCCAGTATTTTGTCCTCTAACAACAAAGGTGTGTGTGGCATTACTTGTAGGAGCAAAAAGTTAAAACGGTAGAGAACTGGCTCAGAAAGTTGTGGCACAGCTGTGAAATGAAACAGTACGTCATTATTAAAAGTCAACCTGTATATATGTACTTATTGACATACACTCTTGATCTTTATTAAAAAATTCATGTATGTGTAACATAAGTAAAATAATCCCACTTCAGTTCAGTTCAGTCGCTTAGTTGTGGCCGACTCTTTGCGACCCCATGGACCCCAGCACGCCAGGCCTCCCTGTCTATCACCAACTCCCGGAGCTTACCCAAACTCATGTCCATTGAGTCAGTGATGCCATCCAAATGTCTCATCCTCTGTCGTCCCCTTCTCTTCCTGCCTTCAATCTTTCCCAGCATCAGGGTCTTTTCAGATGAGTCAGCTCTTCCCATCAGGTGGCCAAGGTACTGAAGTTTCAGCTTCAACATCAGTCCTTCCAATGAACACTCAGGACTGATTTCCTTTAGGACGGACTGGTTGGATCTCCTTGCAGTCCAGGGGACTCTCAAAAGTCTCTCCAACACCACAGTTCAAAAGCATCAATTCTTTGGTGCTCAGCTTTCTTTATAGTCCAACTCTCAACTCCATACCTGATTACAGGAAAAACCATAGCCTTGACTAGACAGACCTTTGCTGGCAAAGTAATGTCTCTGCTTTTTAATATGCTGTCTAGGTTGGTTATAACTTTCCTTCCAAGGAGTAAGTGTCTTTTAATTTCATGGCTGCAGTCACCATCTGCAGTGATTTTGGAGCCCAGAAAAATAAAGTCAGCCACTGTTTCCACTGTTTCCCCATCTATTTGCCATGAAGTGGTGGGAGCAGATGCCATGATCTTAGTTTTCTGAATGTTAAGCTTTAAGCCAACTTTTTCACTCTCCTCTTTCACTTTCATCAGGAGGCTCTTTAGTTCTTCTTCACTCTCTGCCATAATGGTGGTGTCATCTGCATATCTGAGGTTATTGATATTTCTCCTGGCAATCTTGATTCCAGCTTGTGTTTCCTCCAGCCCAGTGTTTCTCATGATGTACTCTGCATATAAGTTAAATAAGCAAGGTGACAATATACAGCCTTGATGTACTCCTTTCCCTATTTGGAACCAGTCTGTTGTTCCATGTCCAGCTGTAACTGTCACTTCCTGACCTGCATACAGATTTCTCAAGAGGCAGGTCAGGTGGTCTGGTATTCCCACCTCTTTAAGAATTTTCCACAGTTTATTGTGATCCACACAGTCAAAGGTTTTGGCATAGTCAATAAAGCAGAAATAGATGTTTTTCTGGAACTCTCTTGCTTTTTCGACAATCCAGCAGATGTTGGCAATTTGATCTCTGGTTCCTCTGCCTTTTCTAAAACCAGCTTGAACATCTGGAAGTTCAAGGTTCACGTACTGCTGAAGCCTGGCTTGGAGAATTTTGAGCATTACTTTACTAGCGTGTGAGATGAGTGCAATTATAATCCCACTGACAGCTTATTAAAACAGTATCTGTCATGTCAAGCAATCAAAATGGTTGTGATGATAATTTTCTGATAATTTTTATCTTTCAATTTGTTAATCCATTCTACTTGAGCTCACTCATTTTTTTCCTTTTGGCCTCTCTTTTTTCAAGATTAGATCAGTCAAGGCCATCTATAATATTTTATTTTCCAGTCGCTGAATTTTATAGATTGTTTTCATCCCTGGAAGGCACTCCCACTCTCAAGCTGCCCTATGGCTTTAAATGAAGCATGTTTACAGAACATGGGTGTAATTGCTTTTCACATTTTCATGTTAGTGGTTCCTTAAATATACATGTATCTCTTTATGCATTAGTCAGGACTTCATAAATCAGAAGCTAAATCTCATTTTCCCTCCTTAAAAGAGAGGTTAAGAACTGCTTTCCAAAGCTTTATGTTTCCTACTTTTACACAGAGATCACAGAAGTAGGGTATAAAGAAGAAACACTCAGAACTAAATGAATAACAGCAATGAGAAGTATTTAAAGAAACATGAAATGTTACTTGAATCCCTCTATAAATGTGACAGGGGACATTTTCTCCCCACAGAACTCTATCAGAAGCTGGAGACTGGTCCTGCACACCAACCACACTTCTGCATTTTTTTAGTGGGATGCCAGATCCTTTAAAAAAGCAGGAAGTTCTTCCTTTTCAACTGTTTCTTTCTCTGCCTGCTTTCAAAAGCTCATGCAAATCCTTGTGGCCTTATGCTTTGATGAAAATGTCTTCGCATTCCTTTATTTTAATTTTATGAGACTGCTTAACAACACTAGAATTAAAATACTCCCAACATTATCCAGAAAAAACCATCATCTGAGAAGCTAACTGACACTGTAATAAGGATGAAATCTGACGATGGAAATCAGTGTGATTTTTTAAAGTATTACAAGGATTCTGAATGAAATCAGAGCCCAAGACAAGTGGAGGGAAGCAATACGTATCAACACGAGAGGATGAGGAAAGTATTTGTGGGGCCAACAGCCCTCCCTGACTGAGGGTGCATGCCATGACCAACACTGCTGAGGCCTGTGGGAGGTATGAGAAAGTTCTAGCAGAAGAGTGGGACAGTTGTATGCGTGAGAGGCAGGCAGGGCTAGGACACTAGCCTGAGGAGGAGGCAGGACAAGGCTCCTGGCATTTGTCATCACAGAAAGAATCACCCCATGGAGGCTGTGGCTTCCCCAGCAGTTTAAAACCTACAGAACCCAACTCAGCCCCTGGAGCAAACACACTTCCTATCAACTGTGAAATAACATGGCCATCTAAATGCATTTTAACTTAAAACATTTCTAAAATCTTGGTTTATGTTCAGCTTCCATAATAAACTTCTGCCTAATATAAATCATTCTACTTTATTTCCTCCAGATATTTCTTTGCTACAACTGAATGGTTTTACTCCATCATGAATCTTTGACCACCTTTTTATTCCTTTTTGTGGTGGAGGGGTAGGGGGGAAAGGCAGCTCCAACTCAAGGCCAGTCTGTATTTTTTTAAAAGACTTTTTGATGTAGATCTTTTTTTTTTTTTTTTGATGATGTAGATCATTTTTAAAGTGTTTACTGAAGCTATTACATCTGTTTTATGTTTCGGTTTTTGGGCCTGAAGGAGTGTGGGATGTTAGCTCCCTGACCAGGGATCAAACTCGTACCCCCTGTCTTGGAAGGCAAAGTCCTAACCACTGGACTGCCAGGGGAATCCCCCACTCTGCGTCATCTTTTATAATATCTAGGAACCAGTTGATGTTTATGAGCTTGTGTGGCTATTTTCTGAGTCTCCACACTTTAGTCCAAAGTCTCTATTTAAAATCTATATAAGTGGAACAGGAGACAGCAACTGATATTATCAAGGATAAACACAGTCTTCAATTTTTCAAAAGGAGCCTGAAAACCAGAATGCTTCCCTGGCTTAATCTTATGACCCGGATTGATAACTACTGAATACATACAAGTGATAATTTTAAAAATATTTTGAAAAATAGACCCACAAATAGTCACATAAACCCAATTTGCTCATACTGCTTTTTATTTAAATCGTCATTAAAAACGTATTCATTGTGAAACCATCATCAATCTCTTCGCTGGGGAACATGGGAGGGTGCAACAGGAAGAGATGGCTTGTGGTTTACAGGAGGGACGGGGCGGGGGGGGGGGGGGGGGGGGGGGGGCGGTGCTAGGGTTGCTAGAACCTCCTGTAGCGCTGTTTTGATGTAAAATCGAAACAGAAAATTAAGTTTATTTGAAATGGATTGACCCCTCTCCAAGCAGCTGATAACACATGGTAAAAGCACACTGATTCTAGGTGTTCCCGAATGAAAACACTGCTGCTTTGCAGACTACCAGCGCAAGCATCCACTTGGCCAAGCTGTTTTCCTGCTGGTAACTTCAATTCCTGTTTTAAAACCGTGCCAATTCCTCTTGGGTGTTCTGGTGAGGAGAATGACTTTCTTTACGTTTTAGCCAAAGACTTTTCCACCACAATATCTTATGAAAAAGCCACAAGGCTGGGGCACACACTGCAGTGACCAGGCTGGGGAGGGGGCGGGGCAGGGGGGGAAGGCATTTTAGAGAATTATTTTGACATTTAAAATAATAGGGAGGGGAAGAAGCATTAACAATAATGTGCTAATTAATTTTTTGATATATTATATTCTGATTCCACAGGCCAAGTTTACAGAGGACAGAATTAAAGAATTTTTTTTTAAAGGTGGATGTGCTTGTTTAAAATACACTGTTTTGCATAGTGGAGGTTTTAAAATGCAAACGAGTCAAACCAAAGGAAGAACAACACATCATAATGTAAGCTTGGGGGAATGTGCCTGAAGTGGGAAAGAGGAGAGTCTGACAGCTCTAAAGCGATTTTTAAAAAATAAAGTATTTTAATTGAATTGAATTAATTAGTTTATTCTTTTGGCTGTGCCATGTGGCAAGCAGAATCTTAGTTCCCCAACCAGGGATCGAACCTGCACCCTGTGAATTGGAAGCACAGAGTCCTAACCACTGGACTGTCAGGGAAGTCCCTCTAAAACACTTTGCAACCCCACACCCTGGTCATTTGAGAAAGATACTCTATTGCTCTCGATTCTGAATATACCTGAAAACCTTTCACCCGAAAAGAAAAAGACAGACTGGTTCTGGGCCCCAGACCTTGCAGGACACACAGTGTTCCAGGCTCACAGGACCTTCCCAGCTATGGGTGTGATTTGGGAGGGTTCTTTTTCTTTTTAAATGCCACAATATGACAATCTCAGGAGAAGCGAAAATAGCCTGAGCTGGCTGAACGGTGCTGCACTGACCTGATTGATGGAGTTGGCAGCGCAGGAAGCCAGGCCTGTTCCAACAAACGTAAGCAGGAAGCAGGACCAGTCAAAAGGCACTGGAGCCAGGGCGAAGCCGGCTGAGGTGGTGCTGACGACCAGGGCTGCAAGACAGAAACACAGCAGGGGCTGTCACCAGGCAGGGGGGCGGGGGTCCCGGCCTCGCAAGCCCACCTCCAGGCCGACCAATCCCCACGGCAACAGCGCGGCCTGCAGGCTGACCTTTCATTGGAAAATTAAGCTTTACAGAACATCACTCCGATTATAAAAATTCTATTATAGAAAAATGCCATTACACTCAAGAGTAAAAACTAAGACGGGTGTTTCAGATCCAGTCAGTCACTTATTCATTCAACAAACACTCACTGCGAACCTAGTCCACAATCAGTACCGTGCTGGACGTGAAGCCTTGTGCTGAGCAGGTTAGGCTCTGTTCTGCCTCGAGGTCCTTGTACTTTTTATTCCCTCTGCCTCTTCCCATGGCTGGATCCTCCTCATCTTCCAGGTCCTGTCTTAGAGATCATGGCTTAGGGAGAACTGCCCCATCCTCTCATGAGCAGGAAGCCCTCTAGGCTGACAGCGTCCTTGGGCTTCCTTTCTGGCGCTTGTCACTCTCTGGCTTCTGCCTGGAATATAAGCTCCACGGAGGCAGGCGCCCTGACTGTCGAGCTTGCTGCCTCTTTCGGGGATCCCACTGCGCCAGGCAAGGAGGAGAATTTACTGGGGGCTGAGGACGCAGGGTGGTGGCTGTCAGACTGCAGAATGGCAAGTTGAGGAGTCTGCACTCATCTGGTCGAGAAGTCCTCTATCACTGGCTGTTTAACCGGGAGCAGTGAGCACCCTGACTTACAACACAGAGGGACCATCTGAGAGGCTCGACTATCAACCCACGGGGAACGAGGGCAGCGCCATGGGGAACCAGACACACAGAAGGGATGACTTTCTCAGTATACCGTCAGCAAAATCCAGAGTTACCAATATAGAAAAATAACCTTAGATCTTTCCAAAAATCCAGGTTGACATTCTGCATTCTGCTTTATAAATAGGTTTAAAAAATCAATTACCATCATGGTGGAAAAGACAGTACTATAATCAGTGAAATGTCAAACTAAAAATACTTTAAGAAGAAAATTCACTTTTTTTGAAATCAAAAAGGGTATGTAGTTGCACAAAACCAATGGTTTTTGTTTTTATCTGCCCCCAGAGCTTGACTGGGTGATGAGCAATAAACACAGAACATCAAATTTTTGACTAATGGGTCAACTCTTGAGCTGAGAAGAGATAGCAAGTAGTTTGCAAAAAAACTGACAGAAAAAAGGACAATGCTTTAGTAAGACTTAACAATGATTAAATCTACAAAATGGAAATACTGCCTCATTTAAAAATATACAAATTGTAAATAGCAACATAGATAAAAAAATGACAGGGGCCATTATTACTAGAGAGGAAGAAATCTGAATTTTGTAACACATTTCCAAAAAAGATCAAAAGCTAACAAAGAATGTATTTTCACTTCATCAAAGCAATTAAAGAAAGAGAAAGGGAAAGAAAATTGATAAATTGTAAAATTGACCGAAGCAATATTCTCGCACAGCACTGCCATGACGGTAATTAAACTTTTCATTGATTTCCAGGGGATTCATTACATGGAATCATTTTGCAACACCAGGATCTCATTAAAAGTGAATGTAATATAGTCTTTCATTAATAACACTGGAAATTATATTTTATTTGGTAATCTTGTACTCTGTCCCTTCACAAATAAACAGAAAATCAATGTGGCCGATGAAGCTTGACCCGTCCAGTAGAGACCCAGGAGTGCTGTTCTGTAGTCCCAAGGGGGTACTCTGGAGACCCAAGGAAGAGGGACACCCCCACTCCGATGAACTCCCCCTGAGCAACCCCGCTCGTGGATGGGAGTCTACCCCACACAGACTCTGCAGGCACCTGGGGAGATTCGGGGTGAGAAGGCAGCCCGGACACCCAGCACAGCTGCAGCCCTGCCCTCTACTCTGTTCGGAACCGACACCGCCTCCTCCCACTGGCCAGCATCACTGACGAGGAGCCGCCAGATATGGTCTCTGTTCTGCCTGCCTCCTCTGGGAGAAGCTCTTATGTTCTCTATAATTAAAAAAAAATATTTTTTTAACTTCACACAGTCACAAGCAGGCACGCCCTGGCTGGCCCAGAAGAAAGCAAACCTCCTTGAAGTGGGCAGCCTGGGGGTCATGTGGTAGAGAAGCCCAGGCGGCCCCCAGGAGCAGAGCAGTCCAGGGACCTCAGGCCCAGAGACTCACAGAGGCGGACTCTGCCAACAACCGTGGGCCCAGAAGTGGCCCGGCGCCCCACGTGAGAAGCAAGGCCCTGACCCACACAGTGACTTCAGCCTGGAGGCGCCCTGAGCAGGAACCGGCCAGGTCGTGCCTGGACTTCTGACCTTCAGAAACTATGAAATAATAGCTTTGTGCTGTATTAACCTGCAGAGCTTGGGCTCACCTGTTCTGCAGTAAGAGAAAACTAATAATACTGTAAGGAGGGTGGCATTTGAGGAAGACAGACTTGAGGACACACAGGATGGGCTGGAGTGGAGGGAAGATGGCTCAGGGACCACAGAGAGGCCTGCAGGGCCCCAGGGAAGGGACAAGGGCCTAACGGTGCAGATGGAGATAGAGCAAATCAGCTGCAGGCACAGGCCTTCAACAGGGAATAAACTGAAGTGATTACAGCTAAACAAAAGGAGCCAAACAACTCAGGAACTCAGAGAACAAAAGGACCGCAAAAGGTCAAAGGGAACTCGGGGTCAGCTAGCCTAATCTCTGTCCTGATGGAGGGACGGAAGCTTCACCAGGAGAAGCCTCCTGTGGGACGGGTCTCAGTCTCTCTGTCCCTCTGTTGCAGACCAAGTCAAGACAACTCCCTTGAAATACCTAGCTCTGGGTATAACTCCTATCTCTGGAGCAACACTGCACAACCTTCAGTCATGCACATGCCACCACCCCCAGCCCCTGTCTCTCCAGGCACAGCATCCACAGGGACCAGCCGCATGGGACCTCCACACTCCTGTCCACACCGAGTGACACCTTTCAGAGACGCACGAGTTTCTACCATAACAAGAGCACTCAGGCCAGTGCCTGGCAAATCCTCAGGACCTAAAAAGTGGTGCTCTTGGTAACTGGTAAAATGTGGTTCGAGATGATCTATTTTTCCAGCCACCAAGCTTAGACTTGGTGTTTCAAAGCAGTGCCTTAAGGAACTTCGACAAGCAACAAAACACTTCACACAAGCTCCACGTGCCCCAGTTTTATAACATCCAGGGGAGGGACCATAGCTCAGTCCTTAATAACTGTGGACTAACTATGATGATGACAAAAACAAAACACATATTTGGGAAGCACTCTGCAATGCCAAAGTGCTTTTACATTTATTTAAACCCCGGAAACACTGCACTTTAAAGCAGGGTGTGGATACTTCAGGGTTATGGGAAGAAAACATGAGAACTTTCATTTATAGCTCACTTTTTAACTCTTTCTTCTAAAACACATATTTTGCACATCATAAAATGAATATAAATACATTGGGGTGAGAGCACATGAATTTTATTTACAAGTAACTATACATTCTTGTTACATATGGCATTTATATACAATAGCATAAATACTTTATAAATATATGCACATGCACTTAAAATTTTTTTACTGATAAAATACACGACTAACAAACTTTGGAGAGGCCTGCTCTAAAATAAGCAGCAAGGCAAGCACTGGTGGGTAGCATGTCCGATTTTATATGTGGAGATCCTGGAGCCAGCCAAGGGCGGTGAACTCAACCCTCGGCTTGACCAAGGGTCATGTGAGTTACACATTATATATGGCTCTCTGCTATACTGGTTATACTGTAACAAGTCCTGCAAAGAAAGACATGTTCAGAATAAAATTCCACTGAAGGAAGGGAAGACCAGCTGTGCTCAGCTGGTCAGTCGTGTCCAACACTTTGTGACCCTATAGACTGTAGCCTGCCAGGCTCTCTGTCCATGGGATTCTCTAGGCAATCCTGGAGTGGGTTGCTATTCTCTTCTCCAGGAGATCTTCCTGAGCCAGGGATCGAACCTGCTTCTCCTGCACTGGCAGGCGGGTTCTTTACCACTGAGCCACCGAGCAAACACACATACACACCACCCAGCTGATCACATCACCACCAGCAGGCCAGCTGTGCTTTCAGGACATCCTTGCACATGAGCCATGATGCTCCTGCAGCAGAGATCCTAAGGGGAATGGCCACAAGTCCCCGAGCAGGGAGCCCACACTGTGGGGAGAAGTTCCCCTCACCCCACCCACTGGGCACATGCCCCTGCTTCTGCACCTAGGGGGCTCTGTCCCTGCAGATGGCGGCTCTGTGGGACCTGGCGCCCCAGGTCTAGCTTACGGTCTGCTTCCAGAGCAGCAAGCAACCGCTGAAAGGTTTTCCCTTTTCCAGTACGCAAGAGGGTTTCTTGAAGCAGTGGCTTAATCAAGAATGATTTTTCTTTTTTTTTTTTTGATAAAGGCTCAATACTTTGAGAACTGCTGGTCTCTGAGCACAAGCATAATGAAGGTGCTCATGCACCTTCTGAGATCATCCATTAAAAAGAACTTTATCTCTTTTCTGAGATCATCCATTAAAAATAACTATAAAGATGATATTAAAAAACTGGTCATCTACATTCTGCTTCATCTCTCTCTTTCACTGCCTCGCTATTTTTCAGCTCTGGCCCCTAAAAGAATTAGAGTGAAAAACAAAACTCCAATAAATCAATTCAGATAATTATCAACTCTGATAAAAGATTTGCTTGAAAGATGGAAACCGCTGACTAAATGAGAGCTGGAGATTCTCTATAGATTTCAAATTATCCTTGTGATCTATTATATCTCATTATCCTTGAGAGCAGGGACTATGCAATATTATAACCCAAATCCTACAGACCTGAGGTGTATTCTCTTCAAATCTCTTTTATATACAAAGCCGCCAGAGAACAGACAGTTAATGAATTTGTGTGTGGCTTTGTTCACCGGTGGCTCCAAGCAATGGAATGTTTTCGTTAACAGATCTCAAAGTTCAAAACTATACA